TTAGCATAATATCCTCAAACCCATATCATTTCCATTTCATTTGCCATTTCCTTTTCCATTTGATTCTCCATTCTCGTTACCATAAATCCTAAGAAGCTCTAGGTAAAACGGTAGCTTCCATTTCCTCTTCCATTCTTCCATTTTTTCCCGATAATAGGCCGCTGCAAGGTGGAACAGGTGCAGCAGAGATCACTCAGCAGGCGAGATGACATTCCTATTGCTTCTTCCAAGATCTGAATCATAGCGATGATAGAGGGTTATTACACCAAGATAAAGGAGAATCAAATAGACAAGAAATTGGACAGTTGAAATGGAAACTGTGATCATATAGTCTTTGTACGGTCATGAATAGAGGGTCCCCAATATATACCACATAAGACTATAATCCTTGTTTCAGGGACCCCGCCAAAAAGGTACCCCTTGTCTTGGGAGATCACTGTTTGTGTTGGCGTGTTCAGTCAGCAACCAGGACGAAACATGCTCTCAAGTTGTTACGGGCACACTTTCTCAATGTACGTCCTTTGAGCAGAGAACAATTGCACAGGAATGTTTTGAACACCTGTGCTCGCTTGTTTTTGACTTGTTGTTCGAGACTTGAGTGAAGGATTTGTGTTTTGTTTGCATCCTGCCCGCGTGGTTGTGCCAAATTGCTTGTCTTGGGATTTGAAGCTACAGCCGCACCAGTCTTTGTTCCTGTTGCGAATGATGTTGCTGCTGCCGCAACAATCACATGACCGTGCGAATTGCAACAAGCTTGCCTGATGGTCCACATTTTGAACTCCAGCAGTCGAAAACAAACATATGGCAGTAATGCCTAGCAGGGGCATAGAAGATTTCAGCAAATCAGCATGCTGCATGAGCATACAGCGGAGTTCAAGGCTCTTCAGATCATGCGACGGCATCTTCTGTTTCCTACACTGTTTCAGGCCCTTGGGACCTGTTTCGCAGCATCTTCCGTGTCCATAATGAGACGGGCCGCTCGGCTGCAGACAAGTGGGAAAAACCCTCAACTCTAAATAGTAGTTTCCATTTTATTTGCCATTATCCCAATATAACCCCCATATGACCCCATATACGAGCCAGTGTCACCTTCTAGGGATTGGTGGTCTGTCTCGCTGGCCAGGCAACATTTGGTCTCACTTGATTGGAGCTGGTTACTTCGCGGGCGTCTCAGTTTCAAAATGCTCCCTCCCTCGGTCCCCAAAAAGTAGTTCGGATTCCGAAAAGGACGATAACACGGATAAACCCTAACATATGTTGGAAGCAATGGCCCGGATGGCCGAATGCGGAGGGCCCAAGAACCTCAATCATGCGGCAGTTTGTCAAAATCTTCCCTGTGCAAACCTAACTGTGGACCACTTTTGTTCTCCTTGTACTCTCTATCTACATTCCCCTTCTCCTGCTTGCCCCATCGTTTTGAGAACCCCCATGCGTCTTGGTATCAGGTCTGGGTAGGACTGGATGCAGCGTTGGGCTTCTCCAGGGCAAACAGCTTCGAGCAGCAGGCGCATTTGGAAGTTCCCTTGAAAGGAGCTGCGGGGTTCTTACATGCATACATACAAACGAGGCGTGTGTGTGTGTACAATATGTATACTATGTATGTATGTATGTATGCATGCATGCATGCATGCATGTATGTATGTATGTATGTATGTATGTATGTAGACATATGCGTACATGCATGTAGGGGTATGCCATATTGGGGCCAGCAACTAGGGGTAAGTTGTTCCAAGCCCATATGATGAGGATTATGTCTTTGGTGCGCATACATGAGGGGAATCCTACTATCGATATGTGGAAGACTCAAAATTTTGGCCTCTCATGCGCCGCCAAAGTTAGAGAGTCATGATGATAGCGACATCCCACTTATGGCTTTGCAGAGGCACCTCACCGGACATCATGGGAAGATTCTTAAAACTGTGCGCCCAAAAATGAAAATGAGGATCCAGCATATGTGGGGCCGTCTCGAGAAGTGCCTGGCCTTGTCTAATCAACATGTAAGCTTGGGCTGCTCTCATTTTCGGTTTGCTGATGACCCGCTGCAGTTGGTCTGCTTCAGTACATCCAAACTCTTTGCATACCAAAGCCAAGCTCATTTGCTTTTTCAAGTTGTGAGTTTCTCAAAGCTGCCCTTGTAGAGCCCTAAGTATGGGGCCTGCATCCCTTGTACTCCCCAATATACCCCTCTGGAGAAACTCCCCTTGGAACAGCCACAAAGCATCTGTGTTCAACAGAAATTCAGCCATGGTTGGTGGAGCGCTATGGCTGCAGCTGCTTGTCTCCTAAGCTGTTGAGATGAGTTCTAGTGCTATAGCCTAAACTCCTTAAAAGGGGACTATAAAGGAGCATTTTGGGCTTCTGAGGGGACCCCACTTTGTGTTATGATTGCTCATTACTATTACTATTATTACAAGTATATTATTACAAGTATGTCTATTATTACAATCATTACAATTCTTACAATTGTTGCAATGATGACAATTATTTCCATTTTTTACATTTCTACTTGGCAGGTAGGCCTGGTTTGGGTTTCTTGCCCATTTTACCGCGCACCAAATCTGATCATTTGAGCTAGAGTCTCAACTCCTTAAAGGGGGGGTTGTATGGGATTATCTAGGCGAGTATCATAGGGGTTACTAAGGGGGATACTTGGAGTTTAGACTATGGCTCAGCTGCCCCTGAGGAAAGCTTTGCACGGGAGAGCAATGAACATGGTGCTTCCCTCCCTTCTTATTCTTGCGGCGATGGTTCTGTTGATTTGGTGCCACGCTACAGCGAAGCTTGGCAGCAGAAGCATCCATCATGCTTCTGGCATGAAATTTCTGTGCAGCGCTTCATCTGCTACAGCTGAGGAAGGACCCCAATGATGGTTCTTCCACCATCTTCCTCGGTCTAATAGCAACTTGTTCCGTGTTCAGCGCAGACTGCAACTTTCATATGATCTTTGTAACGCTATATGCTGGGAGATTGAAAATCGGACTGCAGGTAATACAGATGCTGCCGCTGCTCTTCTTGGAGTTGAGAATAGCGCCAGGCCCTCGAGCATACGCAATTCATTCATGTTGTCAGGTTGTCAAAAGGCTGTCTGAGATCTTTCCGCCTTTCCTTCTTGATCCCCTCCACTATCAGAAAGCGCCGCCATCCTCTTGTCAAATACTCAGTATTTGATCGTTAAACTATTCCCGGACAAGTTTCAGGACATGGCGGCGTGGGTGTTACATGCTATTTTACGATAGAGCATAGTATCGCATCGTTTTGATTTATCCTACATCCTAACATTATTTTGTGTTATCCTACATTGAGGTGTATGACATTACAGCATGAGCCATTGTCTAAACTCCTAGTATCCCTCTGAATAACCCCTATCATGCTCCCCTATACAAGCCCCTTACAATACCCCTTCAAGGATCTTAGTAGACCCTAAGCCCTAAACCCTAAACCCTCTATAACTTCCTTTACGGAGTGTAGACTACACCTCACATTATGTTGTAGCCCAGGTCGTGTCCGGATCCAGAGGCTATGCTAGCGATGTTTGGCACCAAGGCTGGTGAGCCCGCACCAGGGGCCCCTTTAAAGGGGGACATAGCATAAAGGGTGATATGGGGGTTATATAGGATTATTTTAGGGGGTTATATAGGGTTTAGGAATATTACCCCCAATCATGCAGAATCAAATGGAAAATGACATGAACAATGACATGGAAACTGGGTTTCTACAGGGTGGGTAGGGATTGGGGTCCCTGAAATGAGAATCATCATCTCTTTGGGTCCATCTTGGGGTCCCGCTGTTTAGGGAAGCTGCCACATGAGCCATAGTCTATAAACTTCGGGTCTACTGTAGGGGCTATTTAGTGGGATACTAGGAGTTTAGACTAGGGCTAATATAGCCCTGGGATGTGGTGCAGGTATTTTTTGTTGGAGACCCTCATTTAGGGTTTAGGGGTTTGGGCTTTTGCGCCCCAAACCTCTACAAGCTTACCCCTAAACCCTACACCTCCCAGCCCTTGACTCTCAACCCCTGAACCATATATCCCCGAACCCCCGAACGCTAGACTGTCTTGGATTGAGCTCGTATGTTGTGGTCCACAGGTCCTGCTGCTACACGGATGCTTCATGTCGCTCCGAGTCTGTGTGCCCTAGCTTTGCATTTGGTTTCAACATTTGGGAGTCCTTTTAGTCAAATACAACCCCCTATATAACCCCAATATATACCCGATTATAACGTAGTATATTATCTCTATCATATTGTCCTTGTATATATCCTATTAGAATGTAGTAGTTTCCATTTTCTTTTCCATTCTCCCTATGTTATCCCTATATAATACCAATATGATCCCGATTGTCATCCTTTGGGATGTATGAGGCGCAGCCCTCTTCTTGGAAAGCCTCACATCAACAGGGAGTAATATGGCAATTTTCTTTGTAGGGATAATGGAAAATGACATAGAAATTACAGGGGGTAATATGGGGATTAGATGTGCGAAGTGTGTACTTGCAGCATGCAATCATACATGTTTAGTCGGCAAGCCTTGTGGTGTGGATCCTACGGTTCAAGCCCCGCAATTTTGAGAGACCCTAAAACCTGGAATCCACCACATAACCATAGTTTCCATTTAAAGCTACATTTTCCTTTCCAAATGTTGGGGTAACATCACTGTATGTCCCCATAAGGATGTACCCCCTATATAACCCCAATCTATACCCTATTATCATGTAGTAGTTTCCATTTTCTTTTCCATTATCCCTATAGAACCCCAATATATACCTTATACCCCCTATATAAACCCTACACAATCCCTATATTAGTTTCTATATTCTATACTAATCCCTATGTAATCCTTGTATAATCTCTA